GCCGCCACACCCCAGGATGCTTTCCGGACCCGCGTGGCAGCTCCGGCCGAGACTCACGCACGACTGGAGACCCACAGAACAAGAACAATGTAAGTGGAACTCTCTGAGACCTTGGACTCCAGGCTAAACGGACACAGGGAGAGAGATACTCTGCTTGCTCCCACCAACCACAGGTGACAAAGGGATTCTAATCAGGAGCCCCACCCTACCCTGCCCTGTCTGCTCCTACCAACCACTAGAGATCCAGGGATCAGATTGCACACAGAAGACCCACCCTACCAGGATCAGATAAATACCCCACTGGCAGACCTCCACTACCGACACTACCTCCACTACCCAGCCGCCGCCACACTCCAGGACGCTTTCCGGACCCACGTGGCACATCATACGACACTAAATACCCATCTTCTGGAATTGACGTATTATATTTGATAGGATTCAAATATGGTAACACCTACAAGGGCGATTAGAGGTCGCCCCAAAAGCCTCTATCCTTCTCGGAAAGACTGGCAAGCTACCGAGAGTCTTCCGCCTGCATGGAGGAGCCTGACAAGCTATCCGTTGTGTATTCGTTATGCCAAAACCAGTAATTACAACTGGTCTCATTCACCTGACCCCGAAAGCTTCACCAACATGGCAGCACTGAGAAGGATGAGAAAGGAGAGGCCGATAAAATCTCAAGGCCGAACTAGGCTGCCACAACGAAGGAAGACAAAAATGATCATCTGTACTTTCAATGCACATACACTAGCATCAGAAGGACCTGATGGTACAAGCGCAAATGATCAAGTACGACATCATTGGTCTGACCGAGACAAGAAGGCACGAATCTCACCATGCCGTTTTCGACGCTGGAGAAGAATTGTTCCTCGGAACATGTGACAAAAGAGGTGTCGAAGGCGTCGGTGTCCTTGTCAACACAAACTTGACCATGAGCATTGATTCATTGGAATGCCTAACAACCCGAATCGGACGTTTACATTTGAATAGATGTGGCTCACTGCCTGCAGTTTCTATCTTCATTGTCTACTCACCAACATTTCATTATGATGAAAGAGAAATCGAGAAGTTCTACATGGAGCTGGAGAAGTTCTATAAAGAAGACCACACCTTCTACAAGATCATTGTGGGTGATTTTAATGCCAAGATAGGACCGAGAAGATCAGCTGAAGAACTTCACATCGGGACCCATGGCCTAGAATGGAACCAACAGGGTGGGAGACTGTCTGAGTTCATCATGTTGACCAAGATCATTCATGGTAACTCACATTCCAAAAGGCAGAATCTAAACGTTGGACATGGGAGTCTCCCGGTGGACGATTCCACAATGAAATAGATCACATCATATTCAATCAACGGTTTTGCCTGACCGATGTCGCTGTTGTCCCAAAATTCTGAATGGGATCGGACCACCGTCTCCTTCGTGCAAAATTCTACTTCACAGAGCGGGGAGAAAGGGCTGCAAAGTTTAAAAAGAGAACTCCCAGAACGACCACCAACTGGGAGCTCTTTGGCACTATTGCGGCAACATGGGAAGATGCCATTGTTGACAAGATTGACGAGGAATACGATCGACTGGTTCAGCACCTCCATGGTTGTGCGAGGAATGCCAAGAGAACGCCACAAAAATACGCCAGTCTTCGAAAACTCATGTTTTTATTGTTTCTTTTTTTTTCTTTTTTGGCATGAGTTCCATATAGAGTTCCAATTTGGATTACCTTCTTTACAAAAACACTAATGTACAAATCTCTAATAAGGGCTTTGCACTGTGACAGCCTCTCTTTTCTACAATGTATTTAGTATTAGAGTTTAGACAAAAGCAAGCTGTAAAGCATTTTGCAACTTTTTTTTTTTTACAAATCTAATATTCAGTACATATTGTTGATCTTATCAGTACATCCTTAGTTTATGGATGGAAGGAAAAGAGACTTCTACTTATGTAAGATGATCTTTTAATCAAATTTAAATTCTTTTTTATTTAAAGAGGAACATAAGGAGAGGAAAGGAACTAGGTCTAGCTTTTTTTTGAGATAACAAAACATGTCACAGATTTTATATTTTATTATTATAATTTTTAGTCTTTGTGAGGGCAACTGGATAAACTACTTGGACCTGTTAGTGTGGTGCCACTCTGGAGTGGGGGATCTGGGTGCCATCAGGGTCATATCCAAGAGGTACTCAGCAGACCATTCCATATTGTGTGCGGTGCCAGGCTTAGTTGCCTCTGCAGGCAAGGCATGTGCTCCAGTCCTTTGAGATATTTTCTCAGCCACCAATTGAATAATTAAAAAAAAAAGGTAATAGTATCTAAATACCCAGCGATGCACAGGGGTTACGCCTGGCTCTGCACTCAGGAATTACTCCTGGCAGTGCTCAGGGGACCATATGGGATGCTGGGATTCGAACCCGGGTTTGCCTCGTGCAAGGCAAACACCTATCTGCTGTGCTATTGCTCCAGCCCTCAAGAGACTGTCAGTCTTAAGGACAAACTACATATACATACACACACATATAACATCATACAATAATGTCACAGAGTTTCTAACAGTGGTCAGTACAAAGTGCTTCAGGATCAATGAAGACAAAATTCTAATTCTAATTTTCTTAGGAGAACACCAATGCTTCACATAAATAACATAGGAAATGAACCTCTAAAAATAAATAGAATTTTGCTACTTTCCTTTGATTTATAGTATAGAGATAGGGAATATCAGGAAATGAAAAGGCAAAAAAAATGTTGGAGTAATAAGAGTAAATAACATTATTATTATTATATAGAATTGTGTGAAGCAATCACTGATGTAAAATAGAAAAGAACTTGAAAACAATACACTGTCACTGTCACTGTCCTCCCGTTGTTCATCGATTTTCTTGAGCGGGCCCAGTAACGTCTCCATTGGAGACTTTGTTGTTACTGTGTCTGGCATATCGAATACTCTCGGTAGCTTGCTGGGCTCTCCGAGAGGGGCAGAGGAATCGAACTTGGGTCGGCCATGTTAGCTGCGTGCAAGGCAAACGCCCTACCCACTGTGCTATTGCTCCAGCAGCAATAAATAAATAAAATGAATAAAAAAGATTGACAGTCTCTTAAAGGAAAATATTTTAATCATTTATTTTGAACTTAATGATTGCTGCTATGCTTTGTATGGTATAGACTCTTTTTGAATATATATGTTCAAAGGATAGTACTGCACTGTAGCACTGTCCTTCCTTTGTTCATTGATTTGCTTGAGCGGGCACCAGTAATGTTTCCATTGTGAGACTTGTTACTGTTTTGGCATATCAGATACGCCACGGGGAGCTAGCCAGGCTCTACCGTGCAGGCGGGATACTCTCAATAGCTTGCTGGGATCTTCGAGAGGGATGGAGGAATTGAACCCAGGTCCTTCGTGTGCAAGGCAGACGCCCTACCCACTGTGCTATTGCTCCAGCCCATGTTTAAAAGGATCAATGTACAAATGTGAAATACTATTTTTTCTGGTGAAAATTGCTGAAACCAAACCTGTACAATTTGATTTTACTTTTCAAACTGTTGTATTAAAAGGTAATATGTTTATCATCAAGAGTGAGAGAAAGTAGAATGCTTAATGTGGGGATAAACTACCCTTTGTATATTCCTTCAGCTTTGCATTATTTCATGTTACTTGATGTTTAAAAGTTTCAAAGAAATGTAATTGGTATGAGAAATAAAGGAGGGATTGGAAAGTTAGTGTAGGAGTGCCTGCCGTGCATGAAGCTAACTGTAGTTTAATCCTTAACACCACATATGGTCAGACCTCCGAGCACTGATAAGAATGATCCATGAGACTGGCCCACATTCAAAAGAACAAAAGCAACCGATGCTGGCGTGGATGTGGCGAGAAAGGGACACTCCTTCACTGTTGGTGGGAATGTCCACTGGTTCAGCCCTTCTGGAAAACAGTATGGACGATTCTCAAAAAATTAGAAATTGAGCTCCCATTTGACCCAGCAATACCACTCCTGGGAATATATCCCAGAGAGGCAAAAATGTATAGTCGAAGTGACATCTGCACTTGTTTGTTCATTGCAGCCCTCTTTACAATAGCCAGAAACTGGAAGAAACCTGAATGCCCAAGAACAGATGACTGGTTAAAGAAACTTTGGTACATCTACACAATGGAGTACTATGTAGCTCTTAGAAAAGATGAAGTCATGAAATTTACATACAAGTGGTACAATATGGAAAGTATCATGCTAAGCGAAATGAGTCAGAAAGAGAGGGATAGACATAGAAAGATTGCATTCATCTGGGGGATATAAAGTAACAAAGTATGAGATTAATACCCAAGAATAGCTGAGATCAGCACCAGGAGGATTACTCCATAACTTAGAGGCCAGCTGGGTATCCTAGAGGAAAGGGCTATTCAGATAGAGAAGGGAGCACCAAATAAAGGATGTTTGGAGGATCCTCCCAGGAGGGGAGATGCATGTCGAAAGTAGACTATGGACTGAACATGTTTGCCACTCAATGCCTCTTTTGCAGACCACAACACCCAAAAGGAGAGAGAGAACACAGGGGATTGCCCTGCTACAGAGACGGGGGGATGGGGGGATGGGGGTGGGAGGGATATTATCCATGGTGGTGGAAAATGGGCACTGGTGGAGGGATGGGTATCTGATCATTGTATAATTGAAACCAAAGCACAAAAAATTGTAAATCTACAACTTTAAAAAAAATAAAATAAAATAAAGGGGAAAAAAAAAAAAAAAAAAAAAGAATGATCCATGAGTACAAAGCCAAGAGTAGCTCCTGAGTACCGTTTGGTTTGTTTGTCTTCCTTTACCTCCAAAGAAATAAAACAAATGTCATTTAAATGTAAATTAGATTGATTTCTTCTCTATAGTTTATAAGAGTCTTAAATACTCTGACTTAATTCCTGATCACAATTAAAAGTTTTATTGTTTAACAAATATCATTGTTTATATTGATTTGTGTCACGTTTCATTAAAAAGTAATAGATGTCACTTTTTCCTTTCAGCTAAACCATTTACTTCTAAAGTGAAACAGATGCGATTACATAGAGAAGACTTTGAAATATTAAAGGTGATTGGTCGAGGAGCTTTTGGAGAGGTAAGAGAATGATTTTATAAAAGTACTGTTAATTGTTTCAGAAGCTATTTAGTACGGTGTGTGAAAATAGATTACTTCCTGTTATATGTAGGTGATGTGATTGATCAGAAAATACCTTAGCATTTGGAATGAATATTTCTAGTTGGAATGTTACTTGTAGATATTAATTGCAAATGTCAGTTCATGTAAGTATGTATGCATGTACTTCTGGACTTCTGTTTCTCTGGTTTATTTTGTTATTCCTTGTGGAAATACTGCACTAGTTATTACTCCAGTTTATAAGAAGCCTTTTTACTCTCTGGTTTGTATCCCAACTTATTCCCTCTCTTTCTTTGTTCTTACCTTTTATATTTTGATATAATTTTAGAATCAGTTTCTCAATTTGTGTCTACTCTGAAAATTTTACATATCTGGAATTTTGATTAGGATTAGAATGAAATTAAAGTTAATAGGTACCAAAGATAACTTGTAGATAATTTACATTGTAAATATTGACTAGTCATTCCATGAACATGGCACATTCCTTCTTTACTTAGAATTATATACATTTCTCTATTAATGTTTTGTAGCACAGCGGGTAGGGCGTTTGACTTGCATGCAGCCAACCCAGGTTCTATTCCTCTGTCCCTCTTGGAGAGCCCGGCAAGCTACTGAGAGTATACCGCCCACATGGCAGAGCCTGCCAAGTTCCCCGTGGCGTATTCAGTATGCCAAAAAACAGTAACAAGAAGTCTCACAATGGAGATGTTACTGGTGCCTGCTCAAACAAATCGATGAACAATGGGAGGACAGTGCTACAGTGCTAGAGTGTTCATTCAGTAGAGAGGACAGTTACTTCTTCCAGTAGATTTATTTTATTTGCAGATATGCGATAGTCTTCGTTATGTTTAAATTTCATTTCCTAGTTGTTTTTGATAGTTTTTATTAAATTTTGTTTTCTAATTGTTTTTTATGGTATTTAGAAATATAATTTTATTTGTAGACTTTATGCCTAGAAAACTTGCTAACTATACTTTTAAAATCATGAATTATGTTTTTCTTTTCCCCTCACCTGAATTTTGTGTCACATATGGCAGTACTCATGGCTTACTCCTGGCTCTGTTCTCAGGGGTCTTTGTATGGTGATGGGGATTGAACACAGTTCCACACAAGCAAGACAACTACCCTACCCTTTGTACTGTCTCTTCAGCACTATAAAATCATGAATTTTGTTGAATTTTAATAAAATGCTTACCAGTATCTTTTCAGACACACTACTTTTTTCTCCTGTACACTATTAATTGTTTACTTACAATGATTTGTTTTCTAATGTTAGGCTGATCTTGCATTTCTAAAATTACTAAGTTGGGATTTATTATCCTTTATAAGCATCATTGGATTTGCGTTTATGGATGTGTTTTTTAGGACCTTCGAGAGAAAAATTTCTACTTCCAATGTCCTGATCAGATTTTGCTATTATGTTTATTAGTTCATAAAAAGGGATGTATTCTTTATTACTATTTGCTAAAATAATATGAGATCATTGTTATTATTTATTGTTCATGTGCTTTTATGATGTCATGGTTATTAGTGAGTTTAAGTTATATATTCTATTTTTTAATGGAATTAGAACCATTGAATTTTCTATTTATGTATCAGTTTGGCTAAATTTGTTCCTTTAAAAAAATATATTTTTTTGGCCACACTTGGAAGTGCTCAGGACTTGCTCCTGGCTCTGTGCTCTTGGGATTACTCCTGGCAGGCTTAGGGGACCATATGGAGTACTGAGGATTGAACCTGGGTCGGTCACGTGCAAGGCCATTGCCCTTCCTGCTGTTCTATTGTTATAGCTTAACAGTGTTCATATTATCCAAATTTATCATTGCATTGATCACTTTATACCTAATTTTTAAAAGTTATTTATTTGAAAGTTTTCTCAGTTTTGTTACCTTTTTAATTAATAAACTTTCAACGTTTTGGATTTTTCTACTGATTTTAAAAAATGTTTTAAATTTCTAATTTTTATTCTGCTTTTTGATTTTAACTTGCTATTATTTTTCTAACTTTCTGAAATAAAGTTTTTCTAGCCCTTTCAATTTTAGTAACATGACAAATTTTGATATGTGTCATATTTCATTATTGTGTTCCTTAAAATATATCCTATTTCTCCTGAAATAGGATATATTTTAAGGAATGTAACATGTCTGCCATGGAGGCAGGGGGAGGATGGGAAAGGGGGGTATACCGGGGATATTGGTGGTGGGGAATGTGCACTGGTGGAGGGATGGGTGTTTGATCATTGTGTGATTGTAACTCAAACATGACAACTTGTAACTATCTCGAGGTGATTCAATAAAATTAAAATATATATAATTTCTAATGTGATTTAAAATATTTTTTTAAACCTATGAACTTAATTTATTGTTCAATTTCCAGATATTTGGAGGGTTTTCTAGTTAATGTTTCTGCTACTGAGTTAGAATCTAGTCTGGCAGCCAGTGAATATACTCTGTGATTTCAGTTCTTGAAATTATTGTGCAGTATTCTGTAAATAAGGTAAAGGTAAAGGTAAAGGCCCTCCCGTTGTTCATTGATTTGCTCGAACGAGCCCAGTAACGTCTCCATTGGAGACTTTGTTGTTACTGTGTTTGGCATATCGAATACGTCACGGGGAGCTTGCCAGGCTCTGCCATGCAGGCAAGATACTCTCGGTAGCTTGCCGGGCTCTCCGAGAGGGGCGGAGGAATCGAACTCGGGTCGGCCATGTTGGCTGCGTGCAAGGCAAACGCCCTACCGCTGTGCTATCACTAACAGAGAAAATTTATTTTATTGTTGAAATCTTCCATGGCCATACTTTTTGTTTGTTTGTTTTTGCTTGATGTGTGAGCTTTAGAGGGAGGATTCTTTTAGAATACAAAAATTTAGAATGTTAGAATACAAAAATTCTTTGTATTTTTTTTCTAGTTTTTGCTCATAGTAAACAGATTTTTGCTTGTTAACTTTTATATTTTCCTGGTGATTAACTCTCTTATCCTAATAGTAATACACTTACTGTAACCAAGTAATACATAAAATTTCCTATTCTAATAGTAATAGGTTGATTCTAGTCTTTTAAATTAGTATTCATATTAAACATCTTTTTTTTTTCAGTCTTTTAGTTTCAGCTTTCTATATCCTCCTTTTTACTGTTAAGTATACTTGACTATATAGTCTTGGTTCTAACCTTCTGTTCCATATGCCTCGGATATGTGATATGGTGTGGAATACTATCTAGGTTTCTGTAATTACACTTTATGACATTCACACAAAGACAAAATCACCTAACATTACTTTTCTCAGAGTGTTTCTCAACTATTTATGGACATTGTATGTTTGTCTTCATGCTGATTATAGTTTTTGTTTTTTAAAAGATTTCATTTGGTAACCTCTTGTTTCTTAATTGAAGTATAGCTATCTTAATGTAATTATACTACACATGATTATTTGGTTTCAAATTTGTCTTACCCAAATTAACTTCTGTTATTTTGCTCAGGGCTTGTTCCTGACAGTGCTCAGGTAATCACATGTGCTGCTGGGGACCAAACACTGGTATGTCTGGTGCAAGGAAAGCACCTTACCTGCTATACCACCTCTCTGGCCCATTTTTTTTTTTTTTGTTGTTGTAATTGCTATTTTCTCTTAGCTTTACATATACTATAGCTTCAAAATGATTATAAGTTATGTATTCATTTGGGTTTACCCATATATTTCCATTTTTTTTTGTTTGTTTTCTTATGGCATGGGAGTGCTTCCCCTGGTAGTGCTCAGGGCTTACTCTTGCCTCTGTTCTCAGGGATCACTCCTGGTAGAACTCAGGGTACCAGGGATATCAGTTGATTTGGCCACATGCAAGACAAGTGCCCTAATTACTACACTATCTGTCTAGCCACTCTGTCTTCTCTTCACATTCACACACTTTTTGTTATTGTTAATTGTGGGAACCTTATTTGCTGGTGTTTGTTGGAGATGGGGACAGGGACATTTGTCCTCGGATTTAAACCCAAGGTCTTAAGCATGCAAACAAGTGTGCTTTACCACCTGAACTGCGTCTCCATCCTTTAACATATTTCTTTTGTTTTAATTTTTAGTGCATACCAGCTGTGCTCAAGGCTTACTTTTGGCTCTGCTCTCACGGATCACTCCTGGTGGTTCAGGGGGGACCATTTGAGGTGCTGAGAATTGAACCCGAGTCTGCTGTGTGCAAAGCAAGCACCTTAATCACTACTATCTCTCTGGTCCCACTTCTTTACATATTTCTTAGTGGTTACCAGCTTCCATTCAATAATTGCTTTCCTTCTGAATTAAAATTCCCTTTATTCCCAGTTCTGCTGATAATTGATTACTTTCGGGTGAAAATGTACTCATTTGAAGTATTGACTTCTTTTAAAGTTGAATTATAGAAGTTATCAGTGGGCTTTAAAAAACTATATGGACCATGATATAAATTGAGGTAAAGAGCATTTTTAGGGCTGGAGTGATAGTACAGCAGGTAGGTCGTTTGCCTTGCATGCGGCTGACCCGGTTCGATTCCCAGCATCCCATGTGGTCCCCTGAGCACCACCAGGAGTAATTCCTGAGTACAGAGCCAGGAGTAACCCCTGAACATTGCCGGGTGTGACCCAGAAAGCTAAAAAAACCCCAAACAAACCATTTTTAGTATTCTCTTAGTTCCCATTGATGTTTGTGTCTGAATAATTAATCACCTGAATCCTATTACTATAATTTTTTGTCTGATTTTAAATTTGACATCTATGGAATTTATACACATGAAAATATGTAGTTTAACATTTTTATTGACATTTTTAAAATTAAAATGTATTTTATTTAAGCTAGTATGTCTAAAATATTTTAACAGGTAATCAATAGTTAAAACATATTTGCATTATTTTATTCATACTAAATACTTTTTCTTTTTGCAGTGCTGGAAATCAGACTCGGTGTCTTATACATATAAGATATATTCTCTACCACATCCTGTTCAT